AAGCTGTAACTTGTAAAACTGATTATCATCATCATATATGCTTACTGTGCTAAGCACTGTACTATATACTGTATTTTGCTTTGGTGAATATTGCCTCAGTACCTTTGAGGTGAGTCAGTATTCCCATTTTTTAGATGAGGAATTCTAGAATTGACTTATCCAAGATCACATAATTACAAGTGTTTGAGGCTGATACCAAGCCTAGACCTAACTCAAACCCCTTCTTAATTACCATCCTATATTACTCTCCTGTTGCCTTTTTTTTGGGTTTTTTTGAGTCAGCATCTTACTTTATCGCCCAAACTGGAATGCTATGCTCACAGCTACCTCAGCCTCGAACTTTCTGAATCAGACCAAACACTCACATTTTATAAGAATATTTGGCTTTAGCTCTTGGATTATAATCCTCAAATTGAAATGTTGTCAGTTAACTGGGCTCGGTGGCTCAGACTGTAATCCTGTGCCTTTGGGAGGCTGAGGTGAGTGGATTGCCTGAGCCCGCGGGTTCGAGACCCGCCTGGGCAACTTGGCAAGACCTCATCTCTACAATAAATCAAAAATTAGCCAGGCGAGGTAGTGCACGCCTGTAGTTCCAGCTACTTGGAAGGCTGAGGCGGAAGGATCGCCGGAGCCCAGCAGGTCGAGGCTGCGGTGGCCGGGAGCAGCCTCTGCACTCCAGTCTGGGCGACAGAGTGAGACTCCAACTCAAAAAAGAAAAAAAAAAGTGTTGTCAGTTAAATTTTCCTTTTCTCAGGCATGTTTAATTTAATCTTAGTTTTAACCTACTGGATTAATCTTCCCTTAAATCTTTTTAGCGTGATTATTACACCCAGCAAGATCATTTTTTAAAATTTTTTTATTTTAAAGATGTGGGGTACAACTCAAGGTTAGGTATGCAAATGTTCATTATGCAAGTACCCTTGTCGATGAGGTGTGCCCCCTCTCCCCTGCTAGCAAGAAAATTTTAAAGTTTTGTTTTTCTTAACAAGTATTGTATTTAACCATAAGTATGGGGAACTGATTTTTTTCTTTTTTTAGAATCATGGCTGATTATTGGTATTCCTTCTTTTTTGAATATTTAGGCTGAGCTCGGGGGCTCATGCCTGTAATCTAGTGCTTTGGGAGGCTAAGGCGGGAGGATTGCTTGAGTCCAGAAGTTCAAGACCAGCCTGACCAACACATTGAGACCATGTCGCTTTAAAAATAATTTTTTTTAAATTAGCAAGTTGTGGTGGTGTACACCGGTAGTCCTAGCTACTCAGGAGACTGAAGCAGGAGAATCCCTTGAGCCCAGGAGTTTGAGGCTGCAGTGAGCTATGATTGTGCCACTGTTCTCCAGGCTGGGCAACAGAGGGAGAACCTGTCTCTACATAAAAATAAAAATGAATATTTTAATAAATAGTCAAGCTGAACGTGGTGGTACATGCCAGTAGTCCCAGCTACTTGGAAGGCTGAGGCAGGAGGATTGCTTGAGCTCAGGAATTTGAGAGTACCTGTGCAAAATAGGGAGATCTTGGTCTCTATTTTAAAAACACACAAAAAAATATAAATACCCGTGTTACTTATTTCAGTGAAAGGAGAGCAAAGAGTGTATCCTTAGAGTAATAAATGTATAAATATAAACTATTTAATTTAGCTGATTTCGGTGGCTTATGCCTATATCCCAACACTTTGGGAGGCAGAGGTGAGAGGATTGCCTGAGCCCATGGGTTCGAGACCAGCCTGGGCAACTTGGTGAGACCTTGTCTCTACAATAATTTTTTTTTTTTTTAATTAGCCAGTTGTGGTGGCATATGCCTGTAATTCCAGCTACTTTGAAGGCTGAGATGGAAGGGTCTCCTGAGCCCAGCAGGTCGAGGCTATAGTAGCTGTGAGCATGACGGTGTACTCCAACCTGGGCGACAGAGTGAGAACCTGACTCAAAAAAAATAAAACAAAAACTATTTGCTTTAGTATAAAAGTATTGTTTTAACTCCACTAACTCAGCCGTGAAAGTAAGCATTGTTCCAGATACCCAAACCTTAAATGGATTTAGGCTGATTGAGCAGAATCCTGTTGGAGCAGGGACTGTCATAGCCAAGGTCTGGGCACTTAGTATCTCCGCTAATCTGCTTATTGCACAGGAAGTGTGAGAGAACCAACGTGCAGATTTCAAATGCTGGGTGCCACGGAGTGAGGTCCAAGTGTTGTGGATACTGTGGTGAATGAGCTGCAAATATTCATTAGCTTCATGTTCATAGGGACCATATATTTTAGTGATTAGATTAAATTAAGATCTAAATTTTTAAAAAGATGCTTTAAATAGTGATACATAGTATCAAGGAATTAAAGCAACATCATTGTTAAAGAATATGACAGCAAGGATAATTTTCAGGCGTTACTTTGAGATGAGTGCCCATAAAATGTGTTGTCCAAATGGGAACTCTTTAGAGAGGACATAGGGGCACTTGTAATAAGCCACATGGTCATCCTTCCTTGAAGAGAAAACATTTGAACTGAGACCTGCAACCTGCAGTGGAGGTACCATGGGGGCCATGGGGGCCAGGGAAGAGAGTTCCCTGAGAGAGAGGCCCCAGCTGGGCTAGGTCATGGTTTACTAGGCAACGTTTTGGGGGAAGATAAAGCAGATAAAAGGACTACCACAGCAGCCTTTGTGCAGCTCCAGGGGCCACCATCCACATGATGCTTTTTGGTGATGGCTCTTATGTTTTTAATGAACATCCACAAGTCAAGCAAGCAAGATTATTTCAGATAATGCTGTTTTAAAGGAAATAAAACAGGACTGTGTGAAACTGATGGTTTAGGAGCATATTTAGATATTGAATGGGGAATCTGAATAGGTGGATTGTAACCTGTCGGATTTGGAATAGCCCAGGTCATTTTTCAGAGATCCAGCTTTTGGGCGAAGTTTCTGGTTTGGTGACATTTTAGGCACCTTCCCTTTTTATGGAATCTTGTGAAATAACGGATTGAGTTGGGTATGGTAGTAGACCTAACTCGACAAAATGTTTGGTAAGCAAAGCTTAGGATGGTGATGTTTTACATTTATCTGACTTCTGAATTGATAAATTGGTGACACTGAAAGTAAAAAATAAATTGCCAGTATTAAAAAGCATGAGATTCCAGAAAAGATACAAATGAAAATTTTTGTTGGGGTTTTTATGTAATTTCATCCTCATTTAAAGAATCACATTTGCATGTGATTAAAATCATTGCCACTTGAGATCCTTTGCTGTTTAGTGAATGATTTTAGTATATGCCTTAAATTCATAGGTGCTTTTATTTGTAAGGATTTTCACATGTATTATTAGCTCATTTGTCCTTGAGATGTAAAAAGGATCAAGAATTGGTGAAATACTGATTTTAGAAATAAGATAATTACCTGGCCGGGCTCGGTGGCTCAGCCTGTAATCCCGCGCCTTTGGGAGGCTGAGGTGAGTGGATTGCCTGAGCCCACGGGTTCGAGACCCACCTGGGCAGCAAGAGCTCATCTCTACAATAAATCAAAAAATCAGCCAGGCATGGTAGTGCATGCCTGCAATTCTGGCTACTTGGAAGGCTGAGGCGGAAGGATCGCCAGAGCCCAGCAGGTCAAGGCTGCGGTGGCCGGAAGCGGCCACTGCACTCCAGTCTGGGTGACAGAGTGAGACTCCAACTCAAAAAAAAAAAGATAATTACCTGAAATTGGTCATAAATTAAGCTTTTTTAGGTAGTCTCAAATAACTCTTTGAATAGAGTCCTAGGAGGCTGAGTTTATAGAATAGCATATTTGTTACATTTGTTTTATTTTCTCAGCCAAGTAATCTGCAGAGCCCTTATAATATTCTTATTTCATTTTGTTTGTTTTGTTAATTGAGAGTATTTATAATTATGACTTGAAAGTTGGAATAATGCAAAATTTTCAAGCTGATTGGGATTGTTTAAACTAGACCACATTTTGAAATTGATTCCTCATTGAGCTACCTTTTATGATCCCTGTAGTTCTTGTACCTTGGTAAGAAGAGTTATTTGGTTGTCTTTTTTTTTTTTAATGAGAACTTAAGTTGGGATTTGGATATGTTAAGTATACATTTCATGCAGTGACATTATTATTTAGCCTGAGTGCAATGGCTAATGCCTGTAATCCCAGCACTTTGTGAGCCAGAAGCAAAACAGTTGTCTAAACCCAGTAGTTCAAGACCAGCCTGGGCAACATCTCATGTCTACAATTTAAAAAAAAAATTAGCCGAATGTGGTGGCACATGCCTGTAGCTCCAGCTACTTGGCAGATTGAGGCAGAAGGATCGTTTGAGCCCTGCAGGTCGAGTCTATGGTAGCCATGATTGATTGTGCCACTGCATTTCAGCCTGAGTGACAGAGTGAGACTCTGACTCCGAAAATATATATATTATTATTAACATCTGTCCCTTATTTTAGAGTGTGGTGTACATGTGAGGATTTACTGCATAAGTAAATCGCATGCAGTCGAGGTTTGGACTCTTAGCAGGCTCTCTCTCCCCCAGTAGTGGACCTGGTACCTAGTATGTTGCCATGCACACACCCCCATCCCTCCTCCCTCTCCCTTCCCTAGCAGTGTCCAGCATCTTTAAGACTACTGCTTTAAGCAGAGTTTTATTTAGTGTCTGTGTGTGTGTGTGTGTGTGTGTGTGTGTGTGTGTGTGTGTGTATACACACACACACCATTGCTGGCTTAGAGAAAAGGTAAACTACTTTTTTCATACAACCTGTTCTGAATTCTAATAATGCAGAACTATGTATTGATTGGTGTTTACAGTTGTTTTACTTTAGTGTCATTGAATGCCATGTATTCATTCTCATTTATAATATGTTTTTATAGTGTTTTCAAAAATAAGCTTTTTAAAAAGCATGCTTAATGTATTTACAAAAATTGTATGAAGAAAACTGTACTTGAGCATCTTAATTTTAAAGGGAAAGTAAAACTGTTTGAATTTTGTACCCTGAAATATAATTGTATTAAGTGAACAAATTATTTTTTCCAGGCAGACTCCAGGTTAAAAGCGCTTAATGCAACATTCAGAGTGAAAAACCCAGACAAGTAAGGTTTTGTTTTAATAACAGTTACAGTGTTGTTTTGAATGGTGCCTATCAATCTATATAATTTTTCATTTCTGAATGTATGCACTTTATTTGCTAAATATTTTACATAGTAATTCACATTTAGTGAGATCCTTTTGAAGGCTGAAACTGAATTTGAAATTTGGTAACTTAATTGGGTTTAAGGTTGTAAGCAACTGAAGTTTTAGAAAATTAAATCACTGCTTTTTTTTAAAAGAAAGATTTATTAAATATTGTTGAAGGTATAAGAAAAATGAGAAAAGTAATTTTAATTTTATAGTTTTTATGTGACTTTGCTTGTCAAATATGTACAGAGCTCAGATAAGAAAAGTATATATTTAATCATAAACTGTCTATTTTGTATACCAAGGAAACTTGGTAGATAAATGCATACTAGCGTAACAATTTCATGAAGATACATTTATATGACAAATAGTTGACTTTATTAATGTCAGTTGGTGTGAGAGCATTTCTATGTTAAAAGGAAGCCAGTGTATTTCAGAAATGACCTTCCTTAGGATGAAACCTATGTATTTGAGATTTTGGGTTGCTCAGCGGTGGTTTATTCAGGCTCTTCATTATGTGGGGCTTCATGGGCAATTTAGCTTAGCTAGAGGAGTTTTTTAGTGAGGTATGCGCTTAGGTAGATGAAGCTTTTTGTTTTGGGGGACAAACTTTATGAGGTCTATTAGAATTTCTCTAGTGAATCCTTCAGCATTTTCTATGTTGTGTAAATTCTTATCAAAGGCTAAATTTGTGTATTTTGATCATCTATCATACCTGACTTTATAAATCATAACATATTAGTAATAATGCCTCTGATTCTTAATATACATTTTGAACATAAAATATAAATGAATATTTTTATGTTTTGGTAATTAGGAAGTTGTGATGGTAACTGTTGAGGTTTTTGTTTTGTTTTGTTTTGTTTTTGAGTCACAGACCCACTCTGTCATCCTGGCTGGAGAGCAGTGACATGCTCACAGTGCCTGCAGCATCGATCTGCTGGACTTGGGCAATCCTTCTGCCTCAGCCTTCCAAATAGCTGGAACCACAGATATGCACCACCACGCCTGGCTAATTTCTTTTTTTTTTTTTGAGTTGGAGTCTTACTTCATCACCCAGGCGGAAGTGCTGTGGCATGCTCATGGCCACCCCAACATCGAACCTGCTAGACTCTGGCGATCCTTTCACCTCAGCCTTTCAAGTAGCCAGAGCTACAGGCGCACACTACCATGCCCAGCTAATTTTTTGATTTTTTGTAGAGATGAGGTCTTACCAAGTTGCTGAGACTGGTCTTGAACCCCTGGGCTCAGGCAGTCCTCTTGCCTCTGCCTTACCACGTTGCCCAGGCTGGTCTTGAACCCACTGGCCCAGGCAGTCTTCTCACTTCAGCCTCCCAAAGTGCTGGGATTACAGACTTGAGCTACCACGCCCAGCCCAATGGCTAATTTTTTGATGTATTATAGAGATGGAAGTGTCACCAAGTTGCTGAGACTGGTCTTGAACCCCTGGGCTCAGGCAGTCCTCTTGCCTCTGCCTTCCAAAGTTCTGGGATTACAGGTGTGAGCCATTGCACCTGCCCAAGGTTTTTAGTTTTTAATAGGCTTTATTTTTTATACCAGTTTTAGGCCTAGCAGTTTTAGCAACATGAGTGGAAAGGACTGAGAGTTTCCAAGTGCCTTCTGTCTCCACATCCACACAGACCCACCACTGTCAACACCCCATACCAGAGGGCTTATATTTGTTACTGTTGATGAGCCTACATTGACACAGCATTGTCACCCAAGGTCCATGATTTACATTGGGGTTCACTCTTGGTGTTGGATATTCTGTGAGTTTGGACAAATGAGTAATGAATAATGTATCCACCATTATAGTGTCATATGAATAGTTTTATTGTCCTAAAAATCCTCTGTGTTCCACCTGTACATCTTTTTCTTCCCCCAACCCCTGGCGACCACTGATGATCTTACTGTCTCCGTAGATTTTTATTTTCCAGAGTATCATGTCATATAGTATGTAGATTGGCTTCTTTAATTTCATAATATGCAGCTAAGGTTCCATTGAGGTTTTTATGTGTTATAATAATATGCATGGTGCCGGGCTCAGTGGCTCAGCCTGTAATCCCGCACCTTTGGGAGGCTGAGGTGAGTGGATTGCCTGAGCCTGCAGGTTCGAGACCCACCTGGACAACGAGACCTCATCTCTACAATAAATCAAAAATTCAGCCGGGCGTGGTATCGTGCGCCTGTAATTCTGGCTACTCAGAAGGCTGAGGCAGAAGGATCGCTGGAGCCCAGCAGTTCGAGGCTGTGGTGGCCGGGAGCGGCCACTGCACTCCAGTCTGGGTGACAGAGTGAGACTCCAACTCAAAAAAAAAAAATAATAATAATAATATGCATGGCATATAAGAGATGTTCTCCAAACTAAGAACTAAGATTATAAATCACCTTCAGAAAAAGCTGTGGAAAACTTAAAGCTAAGTTTTTGACCTTAGTGGCTGAACATTCATTAGAGAATCCTGTAGATACTATTTTTAAATACTTTAATATTAATATTTTGATAATTTGTATTTTTCAATTTAATGAAAATGATTTTGATAAAGAAAATGTGTCTAATTTTTCTATTTATTGTAGAGACGAGACCTTGCCATGTTGCCCAGGCTGGTCTGGAACTCCTGGGCTCGAGCAATCCTCACCTCAGTCTCCCAAAGTGCTAGGAATTACAGGCATGAGCTACCATGCCCAGCTTGTGATGCCTTTTGTGTGTGTGTGTGTGTGTGTGTGTGTGTGTATTTTAGAGTTGTGGGGTCCAAGTGGGGATTTATTACATAAGTAGGTTGCATGCAGGTTGAGTTTGGGCTTTTAGCAGGCCCTCTCTCCCCCGATAGTGGACCAGATATCCAGTGTGTTGCCACATGCCCCCTCCTCCACCCTCCCTCCCCTTAGCAGTGTCCAGCATCTGCCAATCCTACCCTTGCACTAGTGTGACCAATGTTCAGGGCCCACTTATGAAAGAACATGTGGTTCTTTGTTTCTGTGATAGTTCACTTAGCGTGATGGTCTTCAATTATGTTCTTGTTAAAGTGTATAATTGGTCTATACTTTAGTAGTATAATTTGTTTGCCTTAAATTCTAGATAATTGTATACATTGGTCACTGTTATATCAGCAGATTCTTTTTTTTTAGTATCTTGAAGCTTAACTTGAAATCTTTTTTTTTTTTGAGTTGGACTCTCACTCTGTCACTCCGGCTAGAGTGCAGTGGCACGCTCATGGCCACTTTCAGATGATCCTTCTGCCTCAGCCTTCTAAGTAGCTGGAACCACAGGTGTGTGCTAATATAACCAGCTAATTTTTAAAATTTATTGTAGAGATGAGGTCTTGCCAAGTGCTCAGGTTGGTCTTGAACCTCTGGGCTCTGACAGTCCTCTTGCCTCTGCCTCATAAGTTTTTTTTTTGTTTTTTTTTTGAGACAGAGACTGGACCTCTGTTGCCCAGGCTGGAGTGCAGTAGTGTGATCATAGTTCACTGCAGCCTTGAACTCCTGGGCTCAAGTGATCCTCCTGCCTCAGCTTCCCAACCTCCTAGTTGGGATAACAGATGTGAACCACTGCACCCAGCTTAGATTCTTGATATGTAGAATCTCAGAGATTCTAGGTCTAGCTGGCCCAGTAGATTATTATTCATATCATTATTAAAATATTTTACATCACTAAAATAGTTTTATTCTATTTTTTCTTAAGATCCAGAAAACCAGAGAGATTGTTTCATAGTGTTTCAAAATGTTTCTTCTAGCACTTGTTTCATTCATGTTTATCTTTTTCCAAACTAGACATTAAGAGCAGTAAGGAGGGCAACCCTCTTGAGTTCCCTCCCAGTATGGGACCTTTTCTGTCCTCTCAGTAAATCCTGCTTTCTTAAAAACAAACAAACAAACAAACAAACAAAAACAGTGATGGAGAGGACCTGGTGTCTTCTTCTTTGTGGCTGTAGATGCTCTATTAATCTGTTTGCATTGCATTAATTGTGTGTGTGTGTGTGTGTGTGTGTTTTGTTGTTTTTGAGATGGAGTCTTACTATGTTGCCTAGGCTGGTCTTGAACTCCTGGGCTCAAGTAACCCTCTAGCCTCAGGCTCCCAAATAGCTAGGACTCTACACATGTACCACCACCTGGCTTGTATGTTTTTCTTGAAAGATTTGCCCAAGGTTTATCTACATTTATTGAGCTCCTTGTATTGTCGCAAATAAACTAAATAAAAATCTAGGTGGTAATCTGACCAGATTCTGTAAGTAACGTATTATTTACATAGTCATTTTATTTTATTTTTATTTTTTATTTTTTGAGTTATAGTCTCACTCTGTCACCCAGACTGGAGTGCAGTGGCTACTTCCGGCCACCACAGCCTCAACCTGCTGGGTTCCAGTGATTCTTCCGCCTTAGCCTTCCAAGTAACTGGAACTACAGGCGCCTGCTACCACGCCCAGCTAATTTTTTATTTATTGTAGAGATGAGGTCTTGCCAAGTTGCCCAGGCGGGTCTCGAACCCGTGGGCTCAGGCAATCCACTCATGTCAACCTCCCAAAGCACGGGATTACAGGCTGAGCCACCGAGCCCGGCTACATAGTCATTTTAAAATCTGTCTCTAGTAGAAATAAACAGTGCTAGCCACACATGTACTGTGCTGCCTGGCACAGTAGAAACTTCATCTATTGTGGCTTTAGTTGCCAGTTTTTCTTGGCTAAAAAGGAAATCTATGTGTCTTAAGTATTTAAATAATAAATAAAATCATAGTTTTCTTCTTTAAAAAGAAAACCCAGGGTACATAGATAATAAAGTTTATGATTTTAGGTTATTCTTTGAGTTTCTAAGCTATCAGGTCCTATCATTTTCCTATGCTGAGTTTGGGGACAGGAAGTATGGATAGAAGAAATGTATGCCGTGAGCTTTCTTCAAGGAGCTCATTGACGTACCACATTAGGGTTTCTTACAGATAGGTGGGGGCAAGAACTGGAAGGAGAGGAGATGGGGAGTGGACTGGCATTTATTATTTCTAGCAGCCACTCAGGCTGCCAGAATTCATTGAGTTTCTTTTCTTTCAAGGCTTTATCTTAGGTAATAGTTGCTTGTACAAGTTGTAAAGAAGTATTTGAGAAATCTGTATACTTGAAATACTTTCAGTTTAGTAAAGTAGAGAAAACTATAGCCATGTGAGAATAAGAAAACCATTCAAAATAGATACTAAACTGTATTGGTGCCATTAAGCTTTGAGATTGGAGAGAGGCATTCTGAGATGTTGATGAAGGTTATTTTCAACATGAGTCTTTAATAATTGATGAGATTTGAATAAAAGAGGCACCTGTCCAGGCTTAAAAGGGAAGATGACAAAAGTAAGTAAAAGTGAAATATGGAGAATAAAGGAAAGCATAGAACCTGGAGTGATAATAGAAATCTTTTGAAGAGAATAGGAAATAAGGCTGGATGAGGCTGTGGGACATAATAGGTTTTGACAACCTCAGACTGCAGTCATTAATATGCTTTACATGTTGATTTTTACATGGCTCGAAGACAAGGATTTTAGATAGTATTTTCGGAGGGACGTTTTATATCATCTCCCTAGTCTGGTTTGTCTTTGTTTGTTTGTTTTTTGATTTTTTTTTTTTTTGAGTCAAAGTCTCACTGTCACCCAGGCTGGAGTATAGTGGCACACTCACGGCCATCGTAGCCTCGAGCTGCTGGGCTCAGGAGATCCTTCCTCCTCAGCCTTCCAAGTAGCTGGAACTACAGGTGCGCACCACCATACCTGGCTAATTTTTTTATTTATTGTAGAGACAAGGTCTCACCGTGTTGCCCAGGCTAGTTTCCAACCTGTGGGCTCATGCAGTTCTCTGACTTCAGCCTCCCAAAGTGCTGGGATTACAGGAGTGAGTCACCATGCCTGGCAGTGGATTGTCTTTTTTAAACTCTCTCCTTTCAAGTGAAACTACAGCATTCTGACATTATTATATATGATTTTTAGTCTTCAATATCTCTCTGAGAGTATCTAATCATTGAGGATAAGAATACCTAATCATCGAGGATAGCATTCCTTATCTTAATATACAAACATTCTTGATTTTGACTTGTGCAAAGAAGTTAGACTGTCATTTCCAGAAAATTCATTCCTTCATTTCTTAAACACATGTTGTATCTAAAACTTGATAGAATTTTTAGCCTTGACCTTTAGTTTTCTGATTTCCCAGTAACTGGTTTTTCAAAAAAAAAAAATGCACATTTTGTCTTTGTCATTTAGGTATTTAGACTTTCTTAACCCTGACTTTCTGGTAATCTGATCACCTGGGGATGCTTGTCACCTCCCCCCCTTCAAAAAGAGATTCTACCACTCTGCCAATCTGATAGAGAAACTATAGTGTGCCTTAAAAATTCTATGACCAAAGATGGTAGGATCTTTTCTATTCCAGAAACCTCTGGTTTGCCTAATTTAAGTGTTCTGAGACTTACTCTGTGTGTTCTTATAAATTTCTCATTACCAAATATGACAACTAAGTATTTTATAGTCATACCAGCTCCAAAGTTGGGAAGCTGAAAAACAAAGTTTTTAGGGAATCTTATCAAGTCTGAAGAAGCTCTAGAAGACCTAATCATATGTGGGACCCAGCACACGAAGATCAGATCAAGAGGAGATAGAGTTTACCAAACAATTTGCCTCTTAAAACTTAAATTCAAATCTTACCTGGGCATGGTGGCTCACACCTGTACTTCCAGCACTTTGGGAGTTAAGGTAGAGGCGGAAGTACTGCTTGAGGCTAGGAGTTTGAAACTACCCTGGGGTAACATAGCAGGACCCTTGTTTCTGCAGAAAATAAAAAAGTTAGGCATAGGGGACACACCTGTAGTCCCAGTTACTTGGGAGGCTGAAGTAAGAGGATAACTTGAGCGCAGGAGGTTGAGGCTGCAGTGTGCTAAGATCGTGCCACTTTGCTCCAGCCTGGGTGACAGAGCAAGACCTTGTCTCTAAAAAGGAAAACAAAAATTTTAAAAAGTAAAATACCGTGCCTTTGGGAGGCTGAGGTGAGTGGATTGCCTGAGCCCGCGGGTTCGAGACCCGCCTGGGCAGCGAGACCTCATCTCTACAATAAATAAAAAAATCAGCCGGGCGTGGTAGCGCATACCTGTAATTCCGGCTACTTGGAAGGCTGAGGTGGAAGAATCGCTGGAGCCCAGCAGGTCGAGGCTGTGGTGGCCAGAAGCGGCCACTGCACTCCAGTCTGGGCGACAGAGTGAGACTCCAACTCAAAAAAAAAAAGTAAAATAAATTCTAACCTTCTAAGGGAAAAGTATACAAGCTCAGTGCTAACCCTACACAAAGAAAGCAGTTATCTGAGATAAGATAATATGTATTTGAAAATTTTTTTCAGGGGCGGGGCACAGTGGCTCACACCTATAGTCCCAGCACTTTGGGAGGCCAAGGTGAGAGGATTACCTGAGCCCATGAGTTCAAGACCAGTCTGGGCAACTTGGCGAGACTTCGTCTCTACAAAAATCAAAAAATTAGCTGGGTGTGGTGGCACATGCCTGTAGTTCCAACTCCTTGGAAGGCTGAGTTGGAAGGATCACCTGAGCCCAGCAGGTTGAGGCTGTGGGCTTGAGTGTGCCACTACACTCCAGCCTGGGCAAAAGTGAGACTCCAGCTAAAAAAAAAATTTTTATTTCAAAAAACATTTTTGGGTTATATAACATATTCTCATGGTTCACCAGATATATATTTAGATTGATAGGTATGGAAAGGTTTTACTGTGATAAGTTTCATTTCTGTTCCTATTTATCCATTCCCAATCTCACTCTGCAAGGTTAAATACCTTATTAGCTTTTAGGTTTATATCTCTTTGAAATGTTATCTTACAAATACAAGCAAAATGAAAGAATATGTTTTCTACCTTCCATCTAGAATATAAAGAGAGCTCAGACACAGATTTGCATTCCACTTAATTGCAAGCAGTCTTGTTAACCTTTTTATCCCTGAATTACTTTTATCCCTGAAAAACACTGCCTTGAGGGTAATGCGAGTAGTAGAAGTTAAATATTTTCTATAATGGCTGGGTGTGGTGGCTCCTGCCTATAATCCTGTAATCCCAGCATTTTGGGAAGCTGAGGTGGGAGGATCACTAGAGGCCATGAGCTCAAGACCAGGCTGGGTGAGATTCCTAAGTCTACAAAATTTTTTTTCGAAATTAGCTAAGTGTGGTGGTGTACCCTGTTGTTCTGGCTACTCAGGAGGCTGAGGCAGGCATTTGAGGTTACAGTGAGCTATGATCATACCACTGCACTTCAACCTGGGTGACAGGAGACCCTGTTTCTATTTTTTTTTTTAAAGAAGTGTAACCCCAGGATTACCAGCATCTGAATCCTGTGGGTGATCTCGTTATAAATTCAGATTCCAGAGTCCCACTAAGGCTTCTGTGTATAAGTCTTGTGTTTATTCACACTCCTCTCCTTTTGTGAGACCCTCAGTAGTGTCTCACAAACATTTCAGGAATTCTTTGCATACCATAGGTGGGGATATAAGAGAGGGGTGAAGCAAGTGAGTACTGCAAAAGAAACATTAGGAGACTAGAGAGTAAAAGGAAAACCATGAGAAATTAACACTGAAAAGGGAACTGGTTTTTGAGAGAGGGTGATCTCGGCTGTTAAATTGCCAAGAGGATCAAGTAAGAGAACAAAAATGTGTCATTGGATCTTAGCAACATGAAAATAGTTGATGACTTTGTCAGGATTACTCTTCCACTGTACAGTGCTAGAGGCAAAAGCTGGATTCTAATAGGCCACGCTGTGAATGGTAAGGGAAGAAGTGTTTATTGCTAAGGAGATGATGCCTCTTGAAAGCTTGACTATAAAAGGGGAGGATATTGAGGGTGTTAGTAGCTGGGTGTGTTGTCAAAGGAGTATGTATGTATTTTAATTTAAGAGAGATCTGAGTTAATTGGAATGCTGGTGAGAAGAAGCTTGTAGAGAGAGGAAGTTAGGAGACAAGAATATGAGATGTAGCTGGGTTAGAATCCAGAGCATTGGATGTGAAGGAAGAAATGATGTGGATATGGGGAAGTTTGCAAGTTGATTGCCAGGAACTGAAGGTGGGAGTAATTCCCATCTGATGATGGCTTCTGTTTTATCTGTGAAACTTGGTTGTTTGGATAATGGCAGATGGTATATCAGAAGTTTTTGGTCTTTAGGGAGAATGGCAGTTAATAGATTAGGGAGACAAAGATTACTGAGCAGAATTAAAATTGAGGTTAGAGACCATGAGTTTATGGTTGCACCATTTGGGTTTGTTTGGGTTTTTTAGCACCATGAATTAATTTTTTATACCAACAATTTTTTCTCTCAGTCCCATGATGCTAAGTTATGAAGTATGATATTTTGGATTTCGGAATAAAGTATCATTTTATTTTAGAGCTTTTTGAATTTATATTGGCATGTAAATGTTTAAGCTCAGTATATGGTTAAATAGAATAAGTTTTATTATTCTCAGGAACTGCTGTTTTGTCTTTCAGTTTTTGACTGCTTGTTTTCACTGAAAAATGATGTTTTATTTGTTTTCTGTTTCAGGAGATTTACTGAACTAAAACACTACAGTGATGAACTACAGTCTGTCATCTCACATCTTCTTCGAGTCAGAGCTGTAAGGGGTCCCCAAGAGCTTTTGACACATGTTTATAAGTGCTTCTCATTTAATTATTGTGTTTTTAAGTAATGAATGATATTTGTGATGAATAACTGATCTGTACATTCAGATTTAGTTTGTTCATTGTCCATACTGCATTTTTTAAAAATGTGGTTGTTTGTCTCAAATAGCTTGAAGAATTTTAGCCAGTTGTTTTCTCTGAGGTTTATGATAGCATAATTGTTTTGTATCTTGTCAAAAGACCTGCCATTTCAGTGCTGGAATGTGAATAAGTGTAGGATTTTAGATCTACATATAATAATATACAATTTTAGGGTTTTTTTTAAGGTCTGTGAAGTAGTTTATGGATGTTAGGCAATCCATAATTCTACTAAATAAACTAATCTGGGGTAATAGTCTGAATGACAAAAAGAAAGAGAAATTGAAGAATAATCATTATACTAAGCCATGTAATTTGGCTGTAATAGACACAGAGAAAAATAATTTTTAGTAAATTAATGTATCTTGAAAATGTCCTAGAGGAAACCTTAGAACTTGCCTGTGATGAAGACTTTGAAAGAAACTGGGTTACCAGGTCTAGGATCACTTTTTGTGCTGAGTGAAATTCTCTTGAAATGAAATATATTGTCTGGGATTTGCTTAATAAAATAATCCACTGATGAGAAATGAAAGAGGGGGCAGTTTTAGATGAAACTAAATTGGCCACATAATTGTTAAATCGTGAAAGCTGGGTGTTGGGAAATGGTGATATATCCTTCTGTTCTCGATGCTTTCTGTATATTTCAGGATTTCTGTAATAATATAAAAAAGTGGGGGGGAGGGGGATGGGATTAACAGTAGCAAATATCTGTCTGGGGATGGGGAAACACCTCTTATCAACAGGATGCCTGAATGAAACGTAATTGTACACCTAACCCTTAACTGTACCCCACAAAACCATAATAAAAAATATTGATAAAAAAATAAAAAATTTTTAAAAAGAAAAGTAGAGTAAAGGGAAAATTATTCTGAAAATCCTCATAGTCTCCAGTTTAGCTGTTCAGAATATCACTGGACTCCTTAAATAAATAAGATAATTTCTAGGAACAGAAGAGGTGCCTGTGAGAATGATCAGGCTAGAGTCAAGACCTGGGTATTGGAAAGGACTGTGGATTAATGAGGGAAATTTCTGTCTTAGGTTGCTCTGAAATTACCCAGACAAATTAGGCACTGATTCTTGTGAGAAGCAGGGCTGGAAGACACACGTCTTTTGAACATTAGTTTTGCGTCTGCATTGTACACTTACTGCTTCTAGCTTTTCTTTTTAGGTGATTATTTAACCAGGTCTCGTACTCTCTTCCATGCTCAATATCTTAGTAGTGATAAAATGCTCAGCTTTTATGAAGGAGATTTGATATGGGGATCTAGAAAAAGCAGTGTTCTAGAATGACATTTTCCACTATGTATTCTTTGGAGTGCTCGCCCTGTAAGACGTTACCTATTGCCAATCATATCTCCCTTGAACAGTCATGATTCATATGAGGCATTAAAGGTCTAAAAAAGTCTTACAGGAAAAAAACAAAAAACCTTATTATCTCAATGTTTCCCAAATTTACTTGATGATGGCACCACTTAACAAAAGAGAAAAAAATTAACAAGTACTCTACAGAACACTCAAAATAATTGGGAAGTGATATCCTAGAGAAATGAGCTCAGAGGTTTGGGGACAACCCTGAAGAGTTTCAAGTGGAAATAGGACTGTGCACTTTGTCCTGAAATCTGAGTCTAATGCAGGGGTCAGAACACTGAGGACCAAATAACAAATATTTTCGGCTTTGTTGGCTCTGGTGTTCCCTGTGGCATCTGTTCAGCTCAGCTGTGAAAGCAGCCACAGGCAGTACTAACATGAACGAGCTTGCCTGTGCACCAAGAAGATGTTTTTAAAAATCAGGCAGCAGACCTGAAGTGTACTGAGTCCTAGGCTAGTGTGTATGTGTTTCCTCAGAGCAGGCCGAGGACAGATGGAAAACATTCTATGATCTTCTTACACTTGCTTCAGTATCTGCAGTGGTGGTTCTTTCACTGTAAGCCAAAGTCTCCAAAGGGTTCAGATTTGTTGTACAGCTAATGCCTAATCCCTCAAATTATTCCTGTTTAAAAGTAAGGTCAGGGAGATGATTTTTTTTTTTTTTTTTTTGAGTTGGAGTCTCACTATCATCCAGGCTGGAATGCAGTGGCTTGCTCACTGCCTGCCACTGCAGACTCAACCTGCTGGGCTCAGGTGACAGCTTTCCAAGTAGCTGGAACTGCAGGCGCATGCCACCATGACTGGCTAGTTTTTTTATTTATTGTAGAGATAAGGTCTCTCCAAGTTGCCCAAGCTGGTCTTGAACCATGAGCTCAGGAAATCCTCTCACTTTGACCTTCGAGAGTTCTGAGATTACAGGCCTGAGCCACTGTGCCCAGCCTAGTTTTTTGATTTTTTGTAGAAATGAGGTCTCGCCAAGTTGCCCAGGCTGATCTTGAACCTGTGAACTCAGGGAGTCCTCTCACCTCGGCCTTCCAAAGTGCTGGAATTATAGGCGTGAGCCACCATGCCCGGCCCAGAGATAATTTATTTTTAAAGCATACATTTAGAAAATGTATACCAGAAAATTCTTTTAGGGTTTTATGCAGGATTTGCCCTTGGTCTTCCAGTTCATATCCCTAACACTTTGGGGGAAAGTAAAGCAAATTAATTACCACATGTGGTATTTTGTTTTATCTTTTGCAAAATTGTGTGAATGGTTAGGCAATATATTTTTCATCTCAGTGATCTAAATTATAATTCTGTTGTAATAAAATAGCTAATGTGTTTGTTGTTTAGAAGGAATTATCTTTTGACAAAGTAGCATAGAAGGTATGACGCGTGTATTCTGCATTTAGTATAAAATGATACATCAATCAAATTGAAGATGTTTATATTCTTTCCGTCGGTAAATTCCACTTGGCTCGGTGGCTCAGCCTGTAATCCCAGCACTTTGGGAGGCTGAGGTGAGTGGATTGCCTGAGCCTGTGGGTTTGAGACCTGCCTGGGCAAGTTGGTGAGACCTCATCTCTACAATAAATAAAAAAATTAGCTGGGCATAGTAGCGCACGCCTGTAGTTTCAGCTACTTGGAAGGCTGAGGCGGAAGGATCACTGGAGCCCAGCAGATCGAGGCTGCGGTGGCCGGGAGTGGCCACTGCACTCCAATCTGGGCGACAGAGTGAGACTCCAACTCAAAAAAAAAAAAGTAGAGAAATTTGTTACAAGAAAACAGTCTAGCCGGGCTGGGTGGCTCAGTCTGTAATCCCAGCACTTTGGGAGGCCGAGGCGAGTGGATTGCCTGAACTCGCAGGCATGAACTTTCATAGTTCATGACGAGACCTCGTTTCTACAGTAAATCAAAAATTAGCCGGGCATGGTAGCGTGCACCTGTAGTTCCAGTTACTCGGAAGGCTGAGGCGGAAGGATCGCCGGAGCCCAGCAGGTTGAGGCTGCGGTGGCCGGGAGCGGCCACTGCACTCCAGTCTGGGTGACAGAGTGAGACTCAAACTCAAAAAAAAAAAAAGAAAACAGTCTAAAGGAAAAAGCCTTACTCTCAGAGATGCTTATTACAACAATATAATTTTGAAAAATTAGGAATAGCTTAATACCCAAAAGGGAATGCTTATATGTTTTGTACACTACTTCAGTGGAATTTTATGCAGCTATTTAAAGTGGTGTTTCTTAAAGGTAATACTAATAAGATAGATAAGCGTTTTACCACTCTTGCTATAGGAAATTTAAAAACTATACATAGAAAGAATATGGAAATATAAGATGATAGATATGGTAAGAATACTAGTTTTTTGTTGTTGTTTTGGTGGGCTAGAGTTTTTGGGAGATTGTTTTTTCTTCTTCATTTTTTCCCAGTTTATTGTATTAAGCATAGTTTTTTTGTTTTGTATTTGTCTGTGTTTTTAAGGAGAATATAATTTTGACCTGAAAGCAATTTCTGTTAAAAATTTATTTCAGAGAGTAGCAGATCGACTCTACGGTGTATATAAAGTGCATGGGAATTATGGACGAGTTTTCAGGTAAGCATTATGCAAACTTTAAAAATAACAATTAGCTTTGTGCCTAGAAATAATAATTATTTTAAATCATTGAGTCTGGAGAGAAGGTTAGTTTTTTAAAATAATGTCCTATACCCGGACTCAGTGGCTCAACCTGTAATCCCGCGCCTTTGGGAGGCTGAGGTGAGTGGATTACCTGAGCCTGTGGGTTCGAGACCCGCCTGGCAGTGAGACCTCATCTCTACAATAAATCAAAATGAGCC